AACCTAATAATATAACCCACTCTGTTGTAAAAGATCAGACCAATACGCAGGAGGTAATAGCAAACACCAGTTTCTTCGGACCAGGTGCAGTGACTCATGCCTGTAATCCCCAGACTTTGGGAGGCCCAAGCGCGGGCGGGTCACCACCTGAGGTCAGGATTCAAGGACCCAGCCCTGGCCACATGGCGAAAACCACATCCTACTAAAGAAGTACAAAATTAGCCAGGCATTCGGTGTGTAGTCCTGCTAGTTCCCTTACACTCTTGAGGCGAAGCAAGGAGAATTGTCTAAACCACAAGCGCAGAGGTTGCACGTGAGCCGAGAATTCACCCACCTGGGCACCCAACCTGGGGACGAAGCCGGATAACTCTGTCTCAAAAAAAAAAAAAAATTCTATGGTCCCTTCACCCCATCCAATTTTTTAAGGCACTTAAATTCTGGTTTCTAGGCGCCCAACCTAGAAACCAGAATTTAAGCCTTATTTGGGCTGAGCACGGTGGCTCATACCTGTAATCCCAACAGTTTGGAAGACCGAGGCGGGTGGATTAGTTGAGACCAGGAGTTCAAAACCAGCCTGGCCAACATGGTGAAACCCTGTCTCTACTAAAAATATAAAAGTCAGCTGGGTGTGGTGGCACATGCCTGTAATCCCAGCTACTCAGGAGGCTAAAGCAGAAGAATAGCTTGGACCCAGGAGGCAGAGGTTGTATTGAGCCAAGATTACACCACTGCACTCTAGCCTGAATGACAGAGTGAGACTCCGTCTCAATAAATAAACAACTGGGCGCAGTGGCTCACACCTGTAATCCCAACACTTTGGGAGGCCAAGGCGGGCAGATAACCTGAGGTTGGGAGTTCAAGACCAGCCTGAACAACATGGAGAAACCCCGTCTCTACTAAAAATACAAAATTAGCCAGGTGTGGTGGCGCATGCCTGTTGTCTCAGCTACTTGGGAGGCTGAGGCAGGAGAATCGCTTGAACTTGGGAGGCGGATGTTGTGGTGAACTGAGATCATTCCATTGCACTCCAGCCTGGGCAACAAGAGTGAAACTCCATCTCAATAAATAAATGAACAAACAAACCTCATTTGTAACTCCAAAACTGAGTTCTTAACCATGATGCTATTATGCATCTGACAGTACATGAGGTGTCCTGATTTTTGTTTTATTATGGTCACTGTAATAATTACAGGCATTACAAGCCACCTCAGTTCATTTTTTAAAAGAGAAAGCTCTAAAATAATAGTTATCAGTCCCACCAGTTGCCCAGGGTGCTTTGTTTTGAGAAGGGAGTGAGGATTGGGAGTATACTAAGTCTCTGGGAATTGGGTCCCATGGTCTGCCCTCTGGATTTGGCTCAGCTTTCTCTGAAGAGATTAGTGAGCCCTCTAAGTCCACCATGCTAGGAGACAAGAACTTTTGGTAAGAGCTGCTCAAGGGCCAAGAGTATGCTCTGGGACCAAATGAGAAGAGCCCCTTACCCGAGGCTAATTCTCTTATAACTTCATCCCTTACAGTATGCAGCTGACCCCCAGGACAAGCACTGGCTGGCTGAGCAGCATCACATGCGGGCAACAGGGGGCAAGATGGTAAGCAGTATTCATTTGTGCCACTGCCAGCGACCCACCCCACCTGGAAACCAGGATTTTGGCTGTAGGTGACAGCTTACCTCCAAATCTGACTCCCAAAGCCTGACCAGCGTGTGAGAAGAGAGACTTATAGGCCCATTTCTTCATGCTGAAGAGCAAATTGTAATCTTCAGGTTCCCTTCCCTATCCCCTAGATCTCCCTTCCGCCCCCTCACACTTTCTCCTCATGCCTCCAAGATCACATATTTGGATATTATTAGCTGTCCGTGGGAATAGCAGGTATAAGACATACAATACTACTTTTCCCCACTATTGCACCCATTGATAGACTTCACTCATTGATCACTCTTCCACCAGACACAGCTATAGAATCTTTTCTCAAACCAGTACTCGAGGCCGCAACCCTTGGCAGTAGGAGTTAGCAATGAAATGTGTTTGCACACCTGGCAGCCCCTTCCAGATTTACCTCTACTTAAAGAGTTCTCAGATCATATGAAACAGCAACCTTAGGAAAATCATCATTGCATGTGTTCAAAAACTAGTGTTGAGGGCTTTGTCCATCACACACAATGTCCGCCACCTGAGGACTCACTCCCTCCCACCGCAGGTACTGCTCCTTTTAGAATCTAAGTGTCTTACAAACTGATATGCCATCTCCTTTCTGCCAGTGAGAGCTACCTTTGATTTTATTGTACCACTCTATGCCTATGCCTTACTTCAAAAAAGATTTAAGCTCCATGTACATAAAATATAACATAAATAAGAAATAGATGGTAGGGGGTGGGGGCAGGACCTAAAATTAAGCCACCAGTAAAACTAGTTCTTTTAAAAAAAAAGTGTTTTTTATATTGCTGACCTGGGAGACCTGTGCACTTCTACAGATGCTGGCAAATTCAGCTCTAGGCTCCGCTCATGGACACCTGATCTGTTATGGTTCATAGTGCCCATAAGATGTAGATAAATTACTCAAGGGATACACAATTATTCCTGACCCTAACATTAAAAAGCCTCCCACAGAAGACTTTCTAATGTGATGAACAACTCTTCCTATATGTTAAGTTCACAAAAGGGCCCTCACCCACTGTAGACCGAGGCATTGTGACAAAGCATTTCTACAGGCCTCAGTACAATACAGGCCAATTACTAGACAGCAGGGCAGTTTATCATGTTTTCCATTTTGCCACAAATTCAAAACCAAGTTATCTTTGTCCTCAGAGGGAGCACATGGTTTCCTCTTCCTGATTTCCTATTTCCATGTATATTTTGCTGGTTTTCTTCCCATTTTGTTATAACCCACCTTGGGTCCTTTTGTACACTTGATCTTAACCAAAAGGTGTAGGAGTAATGGTGGATCCCTTTTTTTTTTCTTTATTTTCTTTTTTTTATTTTTACTTTTCACATCATTCAAGAGAGAAATGGGTCCTTTTTTAAAAAAGGAGGCTATAAATAAGTCACCAGTCCCTACTCTCCCATCCATAAAGCATCTACTGTAGTAAAAGATTGTCTCAAGGAACCATTCCCATCTCTCCCCACTTACTCTTCCCTACTAAATTATAAACCGCATCCCCCCTCTTCCACCTAGTAGCAGGCCTTACGTTAAGCAGATGTTTAATGAAGTGTTACTGAGTTGGAGTGAAATGAATCGCAATGATCCCTCTCCCTTGCTCCTGCCTCAGGCCTACCTCCTCATCGAGGAAGACATCCGGGACCTTGCAGCCAGTGATGACTACAGGTAAAACCAGTGGGTCTCCTGCCCCTTCTCCTCTCCCTGCCTCAAAGTAGGCCCTAGAATGAGGCAGGGCCTATGTCCTCACTTCCCCCAACTTCCCTCTTCAATGTCTGTTCCAGAGGATGCCTGGATCTGAAGCTAGAAGAATTGAAATCCTTTGTCCTACCCTCCTGGATGGTGGAGAAGATGAGAAAGTATATGGAGACACTACGGACAGAGAATGAGCATCGTGCTGTTGAAGCACCTCCACAGACCTGAGGCCAGGTGCCCTGGCCACACTTGGCAGCCCTCCTCCAAAGCCCTTTTCTTCACACGGCTGAGGCCACCGCTGGGACTGCTCCTAGATGGATCTCAGCGGCATTAAGCTGTGCCTGAGCGAGTTTGTAGTGACTCACTGCACAGCACCCCCAGACTGGCATGTGGTTCTATATTTGTAAAGTTATTGGGATAAGAAACAATTAAACAGTTTGTAATTAACACAGATGGTGAACCTGTACCTTGCAGGAACTGACAGAACGTCAAGGGCTCTAGAAGTGGATGTAGGAAAAAAGGACAAGATAACCCTCACCCATAACAGTATAGAGCCAGGCTTGATGAGACCAAGCTGGGAGCACCATGTACCTTCCCCATTTGTAGTTTCTTTACCCGGCTAATTTAAGGACGTGGCAGAATGTGGTGGAGTTTGATGACAGATCATGTGAAAAATAGAGTTGGCTTTTATTGCTCCCATTTTACAGGTTAAGGTACTAAAGGACCTGCCCCAAGGTCACACACTACCCATTGGAGAGGTAGGATATACAGGATATGAACCTGTGTTATTGGGGTTGTTTGTTTGAAGACAGTCTTGCTCTGTTGCCTAGGCTAGAGTGCAGCCTCTGGCTCAAGCGATTCTCCTGCCTCAGCCTCAGCCTCTCCAGTAGCTGGGACTACAGGTTCGTGCCACCTCACCAGACTTTTTCCACCACCCCCCCCCTTAAGTAGAGACAGGCCTCCCTATATTGTTGCTCAGGCTGGTCTCGAACTCCTGGATTCAAGCGATCCTCCTGCCTGAGCCTTCCAAAGTGTTTGGGATTACAGACGTGAGCCACAGCGCAGGGCCTGAACCAATGCTGTCTTTTTTCTTTTTTTTTTTTTTTTTTTTCTGTCATCTCTGCGGAGATGTATGAACCTATGTTTTCTAATAGGGAGCCTGCTGCTCTGGCCATCAGCCTTTAGTTTTTCCCCTCGCTGGGATTTTCAGATACTTAGGACCCAGCAAAGATGCCCCGGCGATTATAATTGTGGGGAGGAGCAGAGGTTTCCGGTTTGGGGGAAGGGTACCAGTGCCGCAGGATTGGAGGCACTCCCTTCCCGAGGGAGATCGTATCAAGGCTGGGTGTGCCAGCTGTTCCCAAGCGGAGTAAGGCGTGTAGCCTTAAGGAGGGGTTCGTTCCACATGGACGTTTTCTTGGCCCTTTAATGGTTAGCGTTTTCCAAAGGCCACCAATCCGCTACGGATTCGTTAGTTAATGGCAGCCCGTCTACCAATCGGCTGTCAGAAGCGAGATCCTGCCGCCCAATAGTGGTGCGCCGGTGGGTAGGTCTAGCAGTGGAGCAGCGACAGAGCGCTCCGGCGCGTCCCATTGGCTGGATCAAACCCAAGCGAGTCACTGATTGGTCGACGCCCCCAGAGGGTTACAATTCAAACGCGGGCGGGCGGGCCCGCAGCCCTGCAGTTGCAGTCGTGTTCTCCGAGTTTCTGTCTCTCTGCCAACGCCGCCCGGATGGCTTCCCAAAACCGCGACCCGGCAGCCACTAGCGTCACCGCCGCCCGTAAAGGAGCCGAGCCGAGCGGGGGCGCCGCCCGGGGTCCCGTGGGCAAAAGGTGGGTGACGCGGCGTACCACTCGCTGGGCCTGCCATACCCTAGGCATTGGGACCCAGAGCAAAGATTTCTAGGACCACCCCCGTCCCACCTCCTGGAGCGGGAGATATGCGGGTGCAGGAGAACACACCAGGAGCTCGGGGCCTGGCATTCCCCTGGGCATGGGTGCCGAGGGCGGAGACTTCCGGGACTCCCACCTCCTTGAGCGGATGAGATTTGAGAGACAGGGGATACGCCAGGAGCCCAGACCGTTCTTTGAGATTCTCCCGAAGGAGGATGGGAGGGTAGGGGCGCTGCCAGTCTCCTTCCCGGGTGGGCCTAGATGAAGACGCGCAAGGACCCTCGTGACTTGGCGGAGACAGGGGAAGGGAGAAGTTGACTCGGGCAAGGAAGAGATGCCAAAGCCTGGGGAATTAAGAACATGCCAGAATCATCCCGAGGGAGTCTGGAATTAGGGAGGGTGAGGACTCGTTAGGATCGTCCTGTGGATCTGGTGAGTGTACCCTGAGCTGAGCCTGACCTTGACGAAGTGGGGAGCCTCCATGACGGCTCCCCGTGAGAGATTCAAATAGGAGAAGATGCACCATCTGGAGCCCTGGCCCATCCAGACTCCCAGATAACCCCGAATGCTCTTTTTGCAGGCTACAGCAGGAGCTGATGACCCTCATGGTGAGTGACTAAGTACCCAGAACCCCAGCCTTTCACCCAATTTTCAGTAGCCCTCTTTCCTCCGTCAGCTTTTTTGCTAGACATAGGGGTAAAATATAAATGTAATTTGCTCCCCCCTGGGAAGAAGTTCATACACCCCACCTACACCATTTCTTCCAGCAGTCCCTCCTCCCAGCTCCATCCCCCACATGAAGTTATCTCTAAAACACTTCCCTGAATTCATACAAGACCTCCTGGTCAGTGTCCCTCCTAACTTCCTGGCCACCACAGCTTTACCACTACCCACCTCCCACCCTTCTTGGTATTTCCATAGCTATGAAATTTTGGCTGCTTATTTTGGATTACATATGTCTGAGATTAAGGGAAGCCGGCATCGTGGCTCACCCTTATCAATCCCAACATTTCGGAGGCTAGCGGTGGGTGCATCCTCCTGAGTCAGGAGTTTCAAAGCACCGCGGCCCCCTTGCAAATCCCCTGTTCTACTAAAAATATGAAAAACTGCCAGGCATGTGTGCATGGCCTGTAATTCCAGCTACCGGGCGCCCTGAGACGAGAAATCTTTTAACCCGTGGGACAGAGGTTGCAAGTCGAGCCTGACGCCCGTAACTACTATCACTCCCAGCCCGGGCCACAAGCGAGTGCGTGTGTGTCCTCACGGACGATGGCGTAACCCCATCTATATTCCTCACTTGTCGTGGGTATACTCTCTTTGCCGTGTGTGTGTGTGCGTTGAGATACCATGCCCCATATCATGCATTAAGCGGAAGCTCACCACTGACTTCTCTGCCTCGGCCGAAAGTGTACTCCACAATCCGCAAATTGTTTCCTCCCCAGATGTCTGCGATAAAGGATTCTGCCTTCCCTGAATCAACAACCTTTTCCCACATGGCGTCCGGCGCACCATCCATCGCGAGCCACTCGCGACAATCCAACGTGCTGGGCCTGGGATGGGTGAGCTTAGCTGACCAAGGGGGAGGGCCGACCACGCTGACGCAGCTCTGCCTTCAACCTTTTGCGTGCCAAACACTCACTGTGCTCGTCACATTCTCTGAGCCATTGCCTTGCTTCTTTCCTCTGCCACAATAAGAGGGTGGTTTAAGCAGGCGTATCTACCTTTACCGACTGTTCTTAGGGGGCCAGACAGCAAGGAAATGGATGAAGTGAGGACTCTGGCCAACAGGAGAGCACAGATCTCAAGAAGGCAGCTTCCCATTGCTGCAGATCAGGTTTAAGATGAGTCAGGAGTCCAAACCTGTGCCAAGTCTCCTAATTTTTACATATTAGCAACTAATATTCTAATTGAAATAAAGCACAGAATGCCGATTTTCAATCCTTAGACCAAAGAATCACTGATGTCTCCACCAGATAAAAGGAAAGCATCAGGCTAGGCACGGTGGCTCACACCTGTAATCCCAGCATTTTGGGAGGCTGAGGCAGGCAGATCACATGAACCCAGGAGTTCGAGACTGGCCTGGGAAACATGGTGAAACCCTGTCTCTAAAATAAAAATTAAAATAAAAAAAACTTGTAAAAGGCAGTGGGGAGCATCAGAACCAGCTCAACAGCGTGTCTACTGTCTGCTCCCAGAGAAACTCAGGGTTCTAGCACACCCCTTGTGTGGGGCTTGGGTTGGGATAGGAGGCTGCTGCTGGAGCTTACTCTGCGTCTATTTCTCCAAATGCCAGGTATATGAAGACCTGAGGTATAAGCTCTCACTAGAGTTCCCCAGTGGCTACCCTTACAATGCGCCCACGGTGAAATTCCTCACACCCTGCTACCACCCCAACGTGGACACCCAGGGTAACATATGCCTGGACATCCTGAAGGACAAGTGGTCTGCCCTATATGACGTCAGGACCATTCTGCTCTCCATCCAGAGCCTTCTAGGAGGTGACTTTAGAGACCACCCCCTCCCCTCATGCAACTTGGGAACCTCTCCGGACTTCCCGGGGTCAGCCCCTTCTACCCCCTTGACCTCTTTCTCTCCACCCACAGAACCCAATATTGATAGTCCGTTGAACACTCATGCTGCCGAGCTCTGGAAAAACCCCACAGGTGAGTCCTCAGTCCTTGAGCCCAGGGTGATCCCTCCCCCAACCTTCAAAGGCTCCCTCAAACAAAAGGAGCCCAGTGAGTTGGGACCGGGTTGGTTGGGGCAGGGTGGGGTATTGGCAGCAACCCACTTCTGCTTCTGCCCCAGTGTTCCTGTTTGCTATAAAATAGCAATTATTTTATAGCAGAATAAAAATTTTTGGCTATAAATAATTTGGGGAAATTATTGGGGAGGCCAAGGCAGGAGGATAGCTTGAGGCCAGGAATTCGAGGTTACAGTGGACTATGATCACAGCACTGCTCTCCACCCCAGACAACAGAGTGAGACCCTGTCTCAAAAAGGGGGAAGGTGGGATTAACCTCTTCCATATTCATGCAGGTTAAGAGGTTGCTTAGTAGAGTGCCGTGCCTGTGCCCGCCAGTCTCGCTGGAAGCAAGCCCTTCCAGGAGAGCTGCCTGGATGAGCAGTGCAGGGAGAAAGCCTGGCTGGGAAACCAGCCCCTCCTTCTCCACCTCCTCCCACCTTTGCATCCCTGGTCAAACTGCCTTTGCCCACCTTAATTAACTCCTCCTGGGCCAGGCACAGTGGCTCATGCCTGTAACCCCAGCATGCGGGGAGACCAAGGCGGGTGGATCACATGAGGTCAGGAGTTTGAGACCAGCCTGGCCAACATGGTGAAACCCGGTCTCCACTAAATACAAAAAAATTAACCGAGTATGGTGGCGGGCACCTGTAGGCCCAGCTACTCTGGAGGCTGAGGCAGGAGAATCACTTGAATCTAGGAAGCAGAGGTTACAGTGAGCAGACATCGTGCTACTGCACTCCAGCTTGGTCAACAGAGTGAGGCTCCATCTCAAAAACAATAGTAATAAATAGTAAAGATGAACTCATCCTGTCTCCATCACTCACTGAGACCTGCCTGTTCTCTTCTAGCTTTTAAGAAGTACCTGCAAGAAACCTACTCAAAGCAGGTCACCAGCCAGGAGCCCTGACCCAGGCTGCCCAGCCTGTCCTTGTGTTGTCTTCTTAATTTTTCCTTAGATGGTCTGTCCTTTTTGTGATTTCTGTATAGGACTCTGTATCTTGAGCTGTGGTATTATTTTTGTTTTGTTTTTGTCTTTTAAATTAAGCCTCGGTTGAGCCCTTGTGATGTATATTAAATAAATGCATTTTGGTCCTTTTTTAGACAAGTCGTTGCCTTGTAGTTACACTAGGGTTGGAGGTACTCAGGGTAGGCAGAGGTGGAACTTAAGGATGTGGGGCCAAGCAGTGAGGTGACAAGGATTTATTCCTTTGTACCTTATTTTATGACTCTGCATCTGTTTCTTCATCTATAAAATGAGTGTCACAATGATACTTCCTGTCTATGGAGTCGGTGATGTGTACCAGCAATGTTAGTGAATGTTGGAGCTCCCTCAGCTGTGTTGCAGATGAGGCTGAGCCAGACCTTAGGCTGAAACCTCCTATAGCTGTAGAAGGAACAAGCGTGTGTGTTGGGGAGGATCCCACCACACAGCCACCCCATGTTCTGTCCTGAGGAATGCTCAGGTCACCCTAAGCAGGTCCAGGGCCTGGGGAGACAGCCAGGAAAAAGCCCCTTCCCTTGGAGGACTCTCAGGTCTGACCTCTGGTCTCCAGACTCTAGCCCAAGTCCCCTGTGGAGCTCCACCTCCAAGGGGGCACAGTCACCTCCTGCTGTATATCCCCCAGCAAGCCCCCAGCCCCTTGGGCTGCCTCGTTTCCCTGGCCTGATGAAGTCTCCAGCCTCTGAGCCCCTAGGAGGAAACCCCTGCTGACCAGCTGGGTCCCCGCAAGGGTCGGCAGGTGGAAGAGTAGGTTGAAGTGATAGCCCCTTCTCCCCACCGCCCGCAAAGCCCTTCAGGAAGATCTCCAAAGTAGATAAGCAGCACCCAGATGTGCTCCAGCCTTGCACCCAACTCCTTCAGGTCTGTTAGCAGCCGGTTGGTTGTGCAAGCCTGAAGCGGGGAGGGGTTGGGATTGGAAGTTAGGTCCCTTCATGTCTACAGTTGTGCTCTTAGGTCTCTCCTCTTGGGTTTTTTCTTAATCTAACATGCATACAAATACACTTGGGATCTTGTAAAATTAAAATATTTTCGGTAGGTGTGAAGTGGAGCCTAAGATCCAGTCTGTTTATTTATTTTGGTTTCTAAATAGTTTCCAAGTGATGTCATTGCTGTGGTCTAGTTAAGAACAAAATTTAGAGCAATGTTCTTAGAATGTGGTCCTTCCAGCAGCACCAGCAGCACCTGGAACTTGTTAGGCTAATTCTTGACCCCAAACTGCCCTCCAGGTTCTGAAGGTCTCCCAGGGTTGAAAATCACTAGGTTAGCGGATACTGGAGAAAAACAGAGCTCAGAGCCTGGCACTAAATTAGTCAACAAATGCTGGCTAGGGCCGGGTGTGGTGGCTCACTGCCTGTAATCCTAGCACTTTGGGAGGCGGAGGCAGGAGGATTGCTTGAACTTAAGAATTCAAGACCAGCCTGGGCAACACAGTGAGACCCCCGTCTCAAATAATAAATTTTAAAAGAAAAATAAATGCTGGCCGGGCTTGGTGGTTCATATCAGCAATCTCAAGATCTTGGGAGGCCAAGACTGGAGGATCACTTGGGGCCAGAAATTCAAGGTTATAGTAAGCTGTGATTGTACCACTGCACTCCAGCCTAGGCAGCAGAGTAAGACCTTATCTCTGAAAGAAATGTTTCAAATGCTAACTGTGGTGGATGTGTTTTTGTCTGCCATGTGGTCCTTGGTCATGGTGTTTGGTACCCTAGATGGCCACATGGCCTGCCTTAGGCCAGTCACAGGTCTAAACTGTAGTTCAGATTCAACTGGTGTTCTCTGAAATTAATCACTGGGAGAGAGTAAAGTTATTTTACTAATGAGGTTGCTGAAAGAGAAGGGAATCGGTCTCAGCTGCTGGGGGAGCCCGCTGCAGACAGAAGAAAACTAAGCAGAGACCAACAGCTGGGAGCTGGAGAGACGACATTAGCTGAGACTCTGGCCTCCAGTTCATGCTTTGCCATCCCAGTTCAATGAACCAACAAATCCCTTTTTGGTTTAAGTCCGTTTTATTTAGATTTCTGGCACTTGCAACAAAAAAAAGCCTGGTCAGGAAGTATTTGAATTTCTGATTATTATGATTCCCATTTTATTGAATTCCTGCAAGATGAAGGCCCTCTGCTTGGGGGACTGGGGAATACGTGCCATACAGCCCAGTGATTAAGAGCTCAGACCAGTCTGGGCACAGTGGCTCATGCCTGTAATCCCAGCACTTTGGGAGGCCGGATCACCTGAGGTCAGGAGTTTGAGACCAGCCTGGCCAAAATGATGAAACCCCGTTTCTACTAAAAATACAAAAAATTGGCCAGGCATGGTGGCAAGTGCCTGTAATCCCAACTACTCAGGAGGCTGAGGCAGGAGAATCGCTTGAACCTGGGAGGCGGAGATTGCAGTGAGCCAAATCACCCATTGCATTCCAGTTGGCAACGAGAGCAAGACTCCATCTCCAAAAGAAAAAAAGGCTCAGACCAGGTAAGCAGAACTGTTTCAGGATCCTGGCTCCGCCTCCATTTGCCCGTAAACATGTAGGCAGTTACATTTAACCTCTCCGTAAAATGAAAATACTAGCACCTACCTCATAAGACAGTGGAAGGACCTTAGAACAAGGCCTGGTAGATAGTAAGCACTCAATAAAGGTTGGGTGCTGAACTCACATATAGCCAGGAAAGTTCATAGGTGGAGCACCCAATAGAATAGGAGGGTCAAGGAAAGGTTTTTGGAGAAGGGAATTGAGACCTGAGGGAGATGCACATTCCTTGGATAGCAAGTTCAGGAGTATGTAAGGAGAGGAATACACAGCTGGGAGTGGTGGCTCATGCTTATAATCCCAGCACTTTGCAAGTCCAAGGCAGGCAGATTAGCTGAGCTCAGGAGTTCAAGACCACCCTGGCCAACATGGTGAAACCCTGTCTCTTAAAAACATAAAAATTAGCCGGGCATGTGGTGCCTGTAGTCCCAACTACTCGGGAGGCTGAGGTGGGAGAACTGCTTGAACTTGGGAGGCAGGGGTTGCAGTGAGCTGAGATCACGCCACTGCTCTCCAGCCTGGCTGACAAACGCAAAACTCAAAACTCTGTCTCAAAAAAAAAAAAAAAGAAGAAGAAGAAAGGATGGGGAAGTCGCATAGACGTCAGGTCATAATAGGCTGGAAGGCCATATTAAGATGCTTGGGCTAGCCTGGATAACAAAGTGAGACCCCATCTCTACAAAAAATAACTAGGGGCTGAGGGGGAGGATCCCTTGCGCCTAGGAGTTCAAGGCCTCAGTGAGCTATGATTGTGCCCCTGCACTTCACCCTGTGTGACAGGGAGATTCAGTTTCTTAAAAAAAAAAACTTGGACTTCATCTTGAGGCAAGAGCAAGCTAATGAAGCCTTAAGCAGGGCAGTGACATGATCAGATTTGTTTTTATGTATTTTTTGAGATGGAGTTTCACTCTTGTTGCCCAGGCTGGAGTGCAATGGTGCAATCTCGGTTCACCGCAACCTCTGGCTCCTGGGTTCAAGTGATTCTCCTGCCTCAGCCTCCCAAGTAGCTGGAATTACAGGCATGCGCTACCACGCCTGGCTAATTTTGTATTTTTAGTAGGGACGGGGTTTCTCCACGTTGGTCAGGCTGGTCTCAAACTCCCAACCTCAGATCATCCACCCGCTTTGGCCTCCCAAAGTGCTGGGATTACAGGCATAAGCCACCACACCCAGCCTATGTTATTTTTTAAGACAGAGTCTCACTCTGTCACCCAGGCTGGAGTGTAGTGGCGCAATCTTGGCTCACCACAACCTCCGCCTCTTGGGTTCCGGCAATTCTCCTGCCTCAGCCTCCCAAGTAGCTAAGATTACAGGCGTGTGTCTGGCTAATTTTTATATTTTTAGTAGAGAGGAGGTTTTTTCATGTTGGCCCGGCTGGTCTCAAACTCCTGACCTCAAGTGATCCGCTTGCCTCGGCCTCCCAAAGTGCTGGGATTACAGGTGTGAGCCATGGCACCTGGCCTCCGTCTCTATTTTAAAATATGTATATAATTCAAAAAAAAAAAAAGATATTCAGGTAGAACCAATAACAGGTAGATGGCATCGGAGTTAAGAGCCTTACTCCCGTGCACACCACATAGTGCACGGCGATACTACCTAGGTTATTATCTGGGTGCCTGTGTACTTCACCTCCCTAGGCCTTAGTTTTCCAACTGTAAAGTGGAGAAAGCAACATCTGCCTCTAGGGATGTTATGTGAGTGAATGAGACAATGTCCATAAGGCACAGTATACAGTAGGCACTCAGTAAACAGTAACGTTTACCAAACCCCAGCACTGATCCTGGCTGGAAATAAAAACAGAAAAACATGAATAGGACAAAAGAGGAAGAAGAGAAAAAGACAGATGGAGAGAAAGAACTAAAGCAATGAGCAAGGTGACAATAGAGGCTGGGCTTGGTGGCTCATGCCTATAACCCCAACATTTTGGGAGGCCAAGGTGAGAGGATTCTTTGAGCTCAGGAGTTTGAGACCAGCCTGGGTAACATAGTGAGACTCCATCTCTGCTAAAAATAACAAAAACTAGTGGGGGGTCACCCATTTGTAGTCCCAGCTACTTGGGAGGCTGAGACAGGAGGATCACTTGAGCCCAGGAGGTCAAGGCTGCAGTGAGCTGTGATCACCTACTGTATTCCAGCCTGGGCAACAGAGCGAGACCCTGTCTCATTTAAAAACAAAACAAGGCTGGGCGAGTTGGCTCAAGCCTGTAATCCCAGCACTTTGGGAGGCCAAGGAGGGCGGATCACGAGGTCAGGAGATCAAGACCATCCTGGCTAACACGGTGAAACCCCAACTCTACTAAAAATACAAAAAAAATTAGCCGGGCATGGTGGCAGGTGCCTGTAGTCCTGGTTACTCGGGAGGCTGAGGCAGGAGAATGGCATGAACCCGGGAGGCGAAGCTTGCAGTGAGCCGATATCGCGCCATTGCACTCCAGCCTGGGCGACAGAGCGAGACTCCATCTCAAAAAAAAAAACAGAAGGCCAGGCATGGTGGCTCATGTCTGTAATCCCAGCACTTTGGGAGGCTGAGGCAGGCGGATCACCTGAAGTCAGGAGCTCAAGACCAGCGTGGCCAACATGGCGAAACCTGGTCTCTACTAAAAATACAAAAATTAGCCAGGCATGGTGGTAGGCGCCTGTAATCCGAGCTATTAGAGAGGCTAAGGCAGGAGAATCGCTTGAACCCAGGAGGTGGAGGTTGCAGTGAGCCAAGATTGTGCCACTGCACCCCAGCCTGGGTGACAAGAGCAAAACTCTGTTAAAAAGAAAAAAAAAAAAAATGCTTGCTATGTGCCAGGCACTGCTATAAGCACTTTGCACACACTAACTTCTTCTCACAACCCTGTGTGTACTATCATTATCCCCATTTTACAGGTGAGAAAACTGAGGCACAGAGTGGTTTAGTTTGTCACAGGCAGTGAGCACTCACACTCAGGCATTCTGTCTCTAAAGCTAAACTACCCCCTACACTTAATTAGCTGTGATCTGATACCTGTTGTATACAAATCACTACGGCAGCAAATAGCCAGTGAGGGGAGGGTTCAAGGGAAGAGATGGTATCTGAGCTGGGTCTTGTAGGTTGAAGAATCTGCCAGCTTATAAGAAAGACAAGGGCATTCCAGGGAGGGCAAACAACATGTGCAAAGTACCAAGGGCTTGAAAATGTACTCCAGGTCCATATCAGGAATAAATTGCCCAGTGTGGCTGTGGAAAGAAAGAGAGGGAGGGAGGGAAGGAATTTGGATCTCATTCTAGAAGCAGTGAGGAGCACCGAACTACTTTCAATAGGGCGGTGGCCAGGTCAGATACTTTAGCTCGCTGGTGCTGATGGCCCTCTGTAGAGTGCACTGGCTGAGACTGGATGGAGGCAGAGATCTGGGGTCAAATGATGAGATCAGAATCTCCTTAGTGAGTGCCTCCACCCTCCCCTACCACCACCAGTACAAAGCGAGGATTAAGCACTTGGAAGAAAAGAGGAAGTAAAAGGTCAAGCAGAAACAATGCTACCTGGCATGGATGGGCACCTACTCCCCCTCTCCCCAGCTAGGGAGCCTGCAGAAGGTGGCAGCTATGACAACATCTAAGATGCCAACATTCCAGAAAAGAAGGACGGTGGGGAAGTGAGGGAGCTTCCCAGCTCCCCAGGGTTCTAGCCTCTCCCACCCCCTCACCCTACCTGCAGTCCCGGGACCCCTCCGCAGTCTGCGGGCTCACCCTGACTCAACTCCAAGCCCCTGCAGCCTCCTGGAGCCACCACTGCCCCATCCGTCAAGCTGCGCACACCCAGCGCCAGCTGTTGGGAGCCAGCCGTGAACCTGCAGAGCCTGCCTCGGGCTCCAGGGCCCAGCTCCCTTCCGCATCTCACTGCTCCCACATCCCGCAGCTCCGACAGCCTCTCCTGGGATCCCTGAGGGTGCTCCAGGTGGTGCCAGCTGGGATGGCGCCCTGGACCGCAACCTTTGAGACCCACTGTTCCCGGCTTTCCCCCCATTCAGGCCACGAGTTTTGGAACATTTGCTTTTATTCCTTGCAGACAAAGACCCACAAGGGGCCGTGCCTCCCTGGTGGGGACCCGGCAGGGCGGAGTCTCCCACACCCTAGGGACACGTGATCTTGGTGGAGGCGACTGACCACTCCTTACTGCACGCCCTCCATCATCTTCAGGAACTCTGTGGGAAAGGAGAGGGAGAGGGTCAGGGGTCCCACTGGGGACGCAGAGGCCAGGCCAGGGCTCCAGCCACACAGAGGGGATGACTTTTTTTTATTTTTGTTGAGACACAGTCTCGCTCTGTCGCCAAGGTCGCCAAGGTCTGTTGCCCAGGCTAGAGTGCAGTGGCACAATCATAGCTCATTGCAGCCTCAATCTCCTGGGCTCAAGCAATCCTCCCACCTCAGCCCCTGGAGCAACTGTGACCACAGGCACATACCACCACGCCCGCCTTTTTATTTTATTTTTTGTAAAGACAGGGTCTCACTATGTTACCCAGGCTGGTCTCGAACTCCTGGCCTCAAGCAATCCTCCCGCTTCATCCTCCCAAAGTTCCAGGATTTTACAGTCCTGAGCCACCACGACCCCCCTGCCTGGTCATTAATTGATAAACTGCACAGAGTCGTGGGTGCTTCTATACCCGCCCCCAGGAGACTAGGGGAACTTTTGAAGTTATGCCCAGCCCAGCCCACAAGGCCACAGACACTGCACGGGAGCCAGGCACCAGTGCTCGCCGTCCCCTGTGGCTCCCACCCACTCTTCCCAAGCTCCCGTGGCCCTCCCTCACCGTCGAAGTCAATGCGGCCGTCATTGTTCTTGTCTCCGTCTTTCATCAGAGATTCGATCTCCTCGTCCGTCACGTGCTCCCCAGAGGCCCTGAAAATCTCAGCCAGCTCCTCCGGGTCGATGTAGCCATCTGCATTCCTTCAGGTCCAAAGGTCAGGGCAGGGCTCAGGGCCAGGGCGAGCTGCCCTGTCCACCACACTCCACGCTCCGCTTCCGCACCCCCAACCCGGGGAACCCTCCAGCGCTGCCGGCAGGCTCTGACTGCTCAGCCCCTCCCTCGGCTCCCAGGCCCCCAGCACACCTGTCGAAGATGCGGAAGCACTCAGCCAGCTCCTCCTCGCTCTTTCCCTTTGCGTCCTCTTTCATCTGGCGCACCATCATGACCAAGAACTCCTCGAAGTCGATGGTGCCACTGCCTGCGGGGAGCAGGTGGTGGACTGAGCCTGAGCCCAGCCGCTGCCGCCTTTCCACAACATCCCCTGCCTCCAAGGGACACCCGCTCACCGTCTTCATCCACCTCCTCGATGATGGCGTCCAGCTCCTCCTTGGTGGGTGTCTGGCCCAGCATCCTCATCACCGTGCCCAACTCCTTGACGCTGATGTCCCCACCACCATCAGCATCAAACATGTCAAAGGCAGCCTTGAACTCTGCACGGGAGGGCGGAGGGCAGAGGGCAGAGGTGAGGCCAGCTGGACTGTCAGCCTCACATCTACCCCCCCAACCCTGCCCAGAGGCCAACATGTCCCCAGCATACATCCACCCAGCCCCCAACCTGCTGCACCTCACTCACCAGCGATCATCTCCTCGCTGAGGTAGGACCTGGCCTCAGCCTGCTGGTCCGTCTGCAGGAGACACAGAGAAAGTGTGAGCTGAAGAGGCAGCCCCAGGGCAGTTGCTCTCCTCAACCCCATTCTTTCCAACCCTCACTCTCTCAGCGCTTCTTGGTCCTCCAAAAGAACAACTTCAAACTTGCCACATAATTGTGTGCCCGCACAGCACCCAATCACAGTTTTGTTTTGTCTTGCTCTGTCACACAGGCTGGAGTGCAGTAGTGTGATCATAGCTCACTGCAGCCTCAACCTCCTCGGCTCAAGCAGTCGTCCCGCCTCAGCCTCCTGAGTAGCTGGGACTATAGTGTACACCATGCCTGACTAATTTTTTAAAGTTTTTGTAGAGACAGAGTCCCACTATATTACACAGGCTTGTTTTGAACTTCTGGGCTCGAGTGATCCTCCCACCTCGGCCTCCCAAAGTGCTAGGACTACAGGCTTGAGTCACTGTGCCCAGCTTCTGACCCCAGTTTTTGTTTTTGTTTGTTTTTTGTTTTTGTGACAGAGTCTCACCCTGTCGCCCAGGCTGGAGTACAATGGTGTGATCTCGGCTTACTGCAACCTCCACCTCCTGGGTTCAAGCGATTCTCCTCCCTCAGCCTCCCAAGTAGCTGGGAAGGCATGTGCCAACACGCCCAGCTAATTTTTGTATTTTTAGTAGAGACGGGGTTTCACCATGTTGGCCAGGTTAGTCTTGAACTCCTGACTTCAGGTGATCCACCCACCTTGGCTTCCCAAAGTATTGGGATTACAGACGTGAGCCACCATGCCTGGCCTGACCCCAGTTTTTTTGTTTGTTTTGTTTTGTTTTTGAGACGGAGTTTTGCTCTTGTTGCCCAGGCTGCAGTGCAATGGCACAATCTCGGCTCACCACAACCGCAACCCCCGCCTCCCAGGTTCAAGCAATTCTTCTCCCTCAGCCTCTTGAGTAGCTGGGATTATAGGCATGCACCACAATGCCCAGCTAATTTTGTATTTTTAGCAGAGATGAGGTTTCTCCATGTTGGTCAGGCTGGTCTTGGACTCCCGACCTTAAGTGATCTGCCCGCCTCGGCTTCCCAAAGTGATGGCATTACAGGCGTGAGCCACCACACGTGGCCTGTGACCCCAGTTTTGAGAAAAAGAGAGGAGACAACAAATTAAGCCCAAGGCCTTCTCACTTGTCAATTGAAGGCCAAGTCAGGAACCCCCCAGTGACCTTAGGCAAGTCACTTAGCACGCATTCATCTTTTCTCTGTAGCTTTTCAGGGATGAGATATCAGGGGTGTGAAAGGGTTTTGTAAAGGCTAGCACCATTCCAGCACTATTTTCCAGTTTTCTGTAGCTCCTAGTGGTGCCCGGTACTTTAATAGTTGCTCAATAAAATGTTTGTTCTCAAATAAATAATAATGCAACACAAAGTTATTGAGTACTTGCTGCACGTCAGGCCGCAGATCAGGCACTGGGACCACCAAGAAGAGACAGAGGACACATCATCCCGCCCCCCAGAGAACTGGCAGAGTCAGAGACTGTAAGTTTCCTTCTTAGGATTCAGTCATTGGAGAAAAGGCCCCTCATGTTGGGCCGAATGTGATGGAGGCCTTGACATAAAAGTGAGATATCTGCGGGGGTTTCCAGGTCATACCCAAGCCAGGCCATCTGGGTCAGAGGCTTTGGATTGAGGCTGGCAGTGAGGACGGGGTGAGGCTTCCAAGGAGCTCTTCAGCCGGCTGGCTGCCGGCCCTCCTCCTTCTCCCCCTCCTTCCTCTCCTCCTCTTTCCCTGTGCCAGGAGGGCAGGCTATTTTTAGTCAGGCATGGGCAACAGCAGCTGGCCTCCGGGATCTAGTTACTCCTTGAAGTGAAGTGGGCAGGGGGATCTCAGACGAAAACAACAGCTCCAAATCAGAACCCCTCTCTAGGAGAGCGGAGTCTCTCTAACTCTGGTCTGTCATCTTCCGCCCCTTCCCATCATCCTCAGGGCTCCCAGAGCCCTGCATCTGAGCAGGCCCCACACCCTGCCCACCTCCTGTCTTCTGGACGAGGCTTTCTTCTCTCCATGATGATAGGAGGGTTTGCCAGGCTTCTGGCTCACCCCTGCCACTGGCCTGCTGGGTGACTCACTCTGACCCCTCAGAGTCCCCACTGTGTGAAGGAAACAAGCTAAGAGCTCTTCACAGGTCTACGAATGACACTGCTGGAAGTTTCCGAAGGTGAGTAGGCAGTCAGCAAGCCTTGAGGATCAATCTCTGGAATATCCCAGCCCTCCCCTTTCAAGAAAAGTCAAAGGCCTTCCTTTAAGACACCTGGGTTCCAGGAACCTCCATGCTCCAACCTCAAACATCCCAGTTACTGCCCCACAAAGCACTCAGGTCTGGCCTGAAAGAGGTCCAGAGTGCTCCCGCAAGTAAAGGCACAAAGTTCCCTCTTGTCCTTACCATGGTTGCTGGTGACCAGGACTCCTCTGCTGCAGGTCGCCTCCTTTGCACTCCGCCACCCAAAGATGCCCTGGCCTGCTCTAGCCCCCGGGATTTGTAGGGGCACCCTCCCCTCCCACCTCCCTGCTCCCCAGCACTGGAGACCCTGCCCAATCAGATCCTGGGGTCGGCGAGCCCCACCCCTCCCACAGTCTGAACCCATTACCTAATTTAGCCAAGGGCCCTTGCAGAGAAATTTAAGCCTCCAAGCAGGTGGCAGGCCTTGACGTCCTAGATTCTTGTGAGGAAGTCCCGCCCTGTTCCACCGCCTTGGAGTCCCCCCGACCAAGGAAGCACACTAGCTCCAAGATGGTAAGGACTATCAGAGTAGTAAAGAGTGAGGCAGCATGGTAAAATGGGGAGAGTACAAGCCTTGAAGTCCAAAACCCAAGATCCAAGGCCAGCCTCTGCGAGCTGTGTGACCTTGGGCAGGTAGCAGTGCCTCTCTGAGTCATTTCTTCATCTGTGGGAATGGACCTCTCTGTGGGGTCTCCCTCACAGAGAGAACATGGTAAATGGGAACCCAGGTATAAGTCACCTAGCTTGTGCCGGGTACACAGCGTTGATGCTTGGCAAGAGGAATGTCCTGTCTTTGAACCATGGTAAGGGGCAGGGGATAGAAGGAGGGGAAAGTGACAGCTAGGCCACTGTTTACTGAACCCCCACAATGTGCCACACACTGTGCTAAGCATTTTAACATGATCTCATCTAGTGCTCCTCCTATGAGATAGCAACTATTATTATCTCCATTTGACTGCAGAGATTTGTAAATCATAAAGGTCTATACTCACTCTGTCACCAAGGCTAATGTGCAGTGGTACTATTATAGCTCACTGCAGCCTCGATCTCCTGGGCTCAAGTGATCCTCCCACCTCAGCCTCCCGAGTAGCTGGGACTAGCAGTGCACCACCACCCCTGGCTTTTTTTGTTTTCCTTTTTTGTATTTTTTGTAGAGATGGGGTTTCACCATGTTGCCCAGGCTGGTCTCGAACTCCTAGGCTCAAGGCATCCTTGAATCCTTGGCCTCCCGAAGTACTAGAATTACAGGCATGAGGCACCATGCCCACCCATGTTGATGATTCTTATTATTAATCCCGACTGGAAGGAAGTTGGGACAGACAGTCCTTGGGGGACCTGTCTAGATGGAAAAATGTATGGAGGGATGGAGGAGAGAAGGATGTGCATTTGGAGGAGAAATAATCATTGAAAGCAAAGATCCTTCTCTCAAAGTTACCTTCTCCATGGAAAGGGTGTTTGGATTCACTTTTTTGGGGTAAGGAGTAGGCAAAGGAAGGTTATTTAAGTGGTAAAGGGGTAGCTGGCCCCTTCCTAGAGCTCAGTGAAGACATCTGGTCATCTGGGGAGTAAAGGGGTGGGCAAAGCAAGTCCAGAGGGAACCCACCCTGAGAATCCACAAGGTAAAGGCTGGGCACTGGGGAGTAGGCAAGACTTGTGGACAGTGACTACGTCGACAGAAAGAGCACCAAGACAACCGATAGCAGGCTCTGGGGCCAGGAAATGGGGGTTGGATACCAAGGAATGCAGATGGACAGTGACAACTGGGCTGCCCCCTTCCCCTATATATAGACATTCCCAAGGAGAGCTCGGCAGGGCTGGGCCAAGCTAAATAAGGCCTCCCCCAGGCAGGCAGAGTGCCAAAGCCTGAGACCCATGGGATTCCAATTTAGTTTTTGTT